ACAGACAGACAGACAGACAGACAGACAGACAGACAGACAGACAGACAGACAGACAACAACCTATTTGTCTGTCACTTCCGAAGCTTAAAAGTTTTGAACTTCAAAACAATTTTGCTCAAGACCCATTAAAATTTCTACCAACATAAAAAAATTACTGTTTGTTGTAAAAGACTGATTACAGATACATACTAGCTGCATAACTGTGGCATGGCCAAATACATACATGTCAACAGCTGATTCAAACTTGTCAGTGCCATTACAAGAAGAAAGATACAAGAAGCCCTGCTATTTTCAAAAGGATTCGGATTCAAAGCTCTTTCTTCAACACCTCGTTTGTTGTTTTTTTTTTTTGGGGGGGGGGGGTTCAGTCTTCATTGAGTTCCGCTGAGACCTAGTAGGCTGAAAAGGTTGCCAATCTTTGTTCTTTAGTGTAAAGTTGTTATTGTTGTTGATAGGGATCCAGTAGCATCTGAGCGTGAACTCTTCTGCATGATGCCATTCGGTAATAGCTGCATGTTTGTTCTAACTGTTGTCTTGAGGAGTAGAGGCAATTAGATGTGTGGGGTAGCTTGGAAAGAAAACATCCCCTTAAATCGGTTAGTTTTCTACAGAAGAACAGATGATGTTCCACTGTCTCTGAGGGGTAGTCACATAGTGGGCAGGCAGCAGACTGCTTTACTCCAATTCAGGTGAGATGTTGATTGAGGGGCACATGTTGTGTTCCAAGTTGGAAGATTATGGACTGATCTCCCCTCCTCCACTCATTGATTGGATCTTTGATCCTTTAGTGTGTGGATCGATAACAACAACGACCCTTGAGTGTAAAGAACAAAGCAATTTCTCACCTGAGGCATAAGGTGCGGACCACAGGTAAATCCAGCCACTTCCCCGTTGTTGTGAGCGACTGCGGCACACTCCATCCCTTCCTTCTCCAACTCACCACGGTCCAGGATGACCATGACGATATTGCGGGTCTGTTGTCGCCACCGGTTGTACACGCGCTTGGTGTTCATTGTCCGGCCCATCTTCTCCACCATTTTCACAATTCTGTCAGAGGAGTGGGGAAATTTGAGAATAGTTTCAGTGAGAGTTTTACAACGCTTGCAACACAATAAGGTTATTTAAGTGCCAAAGATTAGAGGGTGTTATAAGTGAGTAGCATACACAAAAAAGGAGGAGAGATAGAAAAGGCTGATAGACGTTTGATAGGAAAGGAGCAAACCACATCAACGCATCTGCCAAAGAAAATAGACACACAGACAGACAGACAGACAGACAGACAGACAGACAGACAGACAGATACAGTACAATATGGATAGCTCGAATTCGTCAGGACCGGCCTCGGTAGGTAGCGAGGGAATCTTACTAAGACAAAGAAAAAGAAAAAAAAAAGACTGCAGGCACAGTTCGACTGATGCGTCATTTCGAGTTCTCTGTGTTTGACCTATATCTATCCGTGTTACACTGTAGATAGATAAAAATACACATTAACCCTTTGAACCCGTTGGGCAATATTTTGCTGTATACCGTAAGGCCGGTTCACCGGGGCACGGACTGCCCAGAGTTGTGTAGTTCGTCAAAAGTACTCTCTTTATTTCTTGTTTGTCGTCTTACAATATTTCCACCTTGGACTAAGGTAAACAAGGGAGAGAACAGACATGCTTATTTCTCCATGTTCTTCCCCTCAGTCTTTTTGTGTATGTGCCCCCAAAACACTGTGAACTTTGATGAAATTTGTGAAAAATGTCCAGGGATAGAGTTTTGAGAAATTTCAAGATTTAGAGTTCAATGGGTTAATCTACTTTTCGTCTCACCTGAGAGGAGTTAACGCGAAAAGACGAAAGTGAACAAACTATAGATCTACTGTTCATCTCACCTGAGAGGAACTAACGCGGTCAGACGAAAAAGCGAACAAACAACAAACTATAATCTACTTTTTGTCTCACCTGAGAGGAGTTAACACGGTCAGATGAAAGTGAACAAACTATAATCTACTGTTCGTCTCACCTGAGAGGAGCTCTGGTCTCCAGCTGTGCCAGGTCCACCACGTGTTGGGGCAGGGCGCTCACATTGCTGGCCATGTTCAGGAGTAGGCTGCAGATCTGGAGATACAATACACACACAACATGTTACATGTAGGACTTTCCTTTTGGTACAATTTTACACCACTTGCAACACAATAAGGTCATATCCTTTTACTACAAGTTTTATACCACTTGCAACACAATAAGGTCATATCCTTTTACTACAAGTTTTATACCACTTGCAACACAATAAAGTCACATAAGTGTTGATGATTAGAAGAGTTTTTTAGTTTTAGTAAGAGTTCTACAGCACTCGCAACTGCATAAGGTCAAATGAGCGCCAGAAGATTAAAAAACGCAGCTTTTCAGTTCCAAGCAGGGCCAGCATTTGCAAGACTAGCTCAAATCTAGAAACACAAAAATCTTTTTAATAAAACATTTTAAAAGAAAACAGAAAGGAGGAACACTCTGAAGAAAAAAACAAACCCATTAACTTTAGCCAGTGTGTGTGTGTGCGCATGAGTATGTGTGTGCATGTGTATGTATGTGTAGTGTGTGTGTGTGTGTGTGTGTGTGTGTGTGTG